CACAGCGCCACTTCCGGCTTTTTTAATTTTGTTTATGTGGTGCTGAGGAATCGAACTCAGGGCCTCATGCATGCAAGGCAAGCGCTCTACCACTGAGCCACCTTCCCAGCCCAAGTTCTAATTTTTCTAATGGTTCTTTTTTAATCATTCTAAATGTTTCTGTCCTGTTTAAGTCTGTTTCTTTACCTTGAAAGTATGGCTATCCTATAATTAGGAATTCTCTATTACACTTTAAGAATTGATCTGTTGAATGAGCCCAAGACTTTCGGCATGCTAATCGTGCATTCTACCAATGAGCTGTGTTACTCTAGTTAATATACTTAATCCTTCTATGAATTATGTCTTTGATGTTGTGAGTGTTTTATCATACAGGCCCTAATCTAGTGCTTTCTACTAAATTCTCTTCTGAAATAAAATCATTACCAATTAACTTGGGTAGGCAGAGTCAACAAATTGTCTTCATCAGGCAATCAGCCATTAGGTTTAGACCTAAGAAGTCTAAACTCTGTAGCTTTACAAAATTACCAGTTCTTTAAGTAGATATGGGTCTGTCTCACATATATTGCTTACAATGAAACATGTGTAGGTTCATACATAGACCCTAGTTCACCTCTCTGGATACTGGTCCTTTATGATTTTTCCCTACATTATATGGCTTACAGGTACCCATTTTCCAGCTCTCTAGGCAGAAAAACATGGCTTTCACTGGAGTTTGAAACAGTAGCCACTATTTAAGTACTTGTTACTATTCTCTTGCTACATGTCAAATGAGAAAGGGCTGCAGGGGGACAGAAATCTCTGTAGTTGCCTGTCCAAATGCTTAACACTCCAGATTATCAAGGACTGGACTACAACTTATGAACTTACATTGCTATGCTAAAACAAGAGCTTACAAAGCATGGATGTTGAACACAGACCAGATCCAACTGAAAGAAATATAGTATATATTGTATTATAAATATTTGTATATTTAACATTATTCATTTGAGATGGTAATAACAGTTAAGGTATTGAACAATTTCTCTTTTCCCATCATGGGAGAGATTAGAGGGAAAGAAAGGAGGATCCTTAAATCTAACTCAAGTTGACATTGGTCTGTCAAGCAATACTAATACTTCATTGTCTCTTGGGTCCTATCTTAATCATAATAAGGAAATACATATAGAAAGGATATTATCTACTGAAAAAATTGGGTCCTATCTTAATCATAATAAGGAAATACATATAGAAAGGATATTATCTACTGAAAAAATTAGTACATGTCTTGGACAAGCAGAAGAGATCAAAAGCTATGTACATATGACCATATATCCTGAGGGTAAGCAAAATGAACCCCAAGATAGGGATACAGAGATTTTATCTTTGTTGTTCTTTGTAATGTACTTATAATGTACTGTGTGATTTTTTTTTGTTTCTTTGTTCTTCCCCCCATGGTACAACCCCTGGTGTCACTGTATTTGATTCTAATGTCCTGCATCTTGTATATACATTTTTCTAATTTGGAGAGAGGAAGGGAAATAACAAATACAGAATGACCCATTGCAACAATGAAATGTACAAGACAGTATGTTGAAAATGAACTTTACAACTTTGTGGCGGGGGAAAGGGAGGGAGAAGTTGGGGAGGCAGGGAGGAAAGGGATGGTAGGGGAAAAATAAAGGAGGGGGTAATGATGCTTGATAGGAAATGGACTCATTACCTTACTCATGTAACTGTAACTCCTCTGTACAGTATCTTTACAATAAGAAATATATGTTAAGAAAAAAAACCTACACATCACATCTATGTGTGAGGATTTCCTCCAAAGACAAAATGAACCCACCAAAGAGATAAAGGCTTTAACATGTTTTTCTTCTGTTAATTTAGGAGAGTAACATACAGAATCAGCGGAATGCTAATGGTTTCCATAACATGATGAAACTCTGTGTATTTGAAAGCATGTTTCACAATTTTCCCCTTTTGCAGTCACAAGTTTACAGGTGCCAGCCCTTATTCCTTTGCAGTTATAACACACTATTAAATATTTGTGTGTATATGTGTGCCAGGACGAGGGATTGAACTCAGGGCCTCCACTCTCACTTGGCTTTTTCCACTCATGGCTGGCACTCTATCACTCGAGCCACAACTTTGACTTCTAGACTTTTGCTATGTAATTGGAGGTAAGAATCTCTCAGATTTGGCTACCCAGGCTGGCTTCAAGCTAAAACTCTCAGCCTCCTTGCTAGGAGTATAGTGTCAGCCACTGACACAAAAAACTTACTTTAATGTCACAGCCGAAAACAGTAGCAGCAGCTTACTTTGTACTTCATATTTTTGGTTTCTATTTTATAAACCTTATCTGCCCTTAACCCTACTAAGTTGTATTTTTAGCTGGGTAGAATGAAGCCAAATAAGTCAAGCTCTCACAAGCAAGCAACAGAGCTAGGATTTATTTTTAGCCAGCTGTGCCATGGGTAGGAACTACTTGTCTAATTCCTTCCTACAAATTCATAAGTAAACCAACCTTTCACTATAACTTACTTGGTCTGGCAATAAACTCTGCCAGTGGAATTTCTTCAGTATTTTAAAAACTGAGCAGTGATTCAGAGATTTAATTTTAAACTTAGGCTTCTTTTTAAGGCTCTGCTTGGTAAGACATGATCTAATGACTAAAACCTATGTTAGCAAATTACAGACTCTGAATGGCTTTAGATACTACCACCAAACTTTCCTACTAATTATTTCTCTGTCCAGTTATGTTCAATAACCTAACACCTTTAGCATCACCATTCAGTTGTCTATATGTCAGCTTCTCAAGGTCTTCCTGTGTTAACAAAAGTTTTTGAAAGTCCTGAGTCATATTTACTATGTAGTGATGCATGCCAAAGATAAATCCACAAAACTTTTGTGGATTGGTTTTGGCTGCATTTAATACTAAATACAGCATAGAGTAGACAGCATAGAGTAGACAACTTGCCTTCAGCAGAGAATGTTTCCAGGATAAACACCTGTATACACCACATGGTGTTGTGCACTTAACAGGTGATGACGTCCAGCTGTGCCTTTTGTTTCTCAAGGATGTCCCTCAGCCTTGTCTTCTGTCTCTCCTGCATTAGTTTTGTTTGCTCTACCACGTGATTCCTACCTACATATCTATATTTAATATCCTCCATCTTAGGAGGATAATTTACTTGGACCTGAACTTCCTCTCCACCTCTCCAATTTTCAGTGCCCCTTTACAGAAAATGTTCTCAAGTGGTATCTTAAAATCATGAGTCTACTTTTTATTCATTGCTTTTGAACTCACCATTCGCTGAAGTTGTCCTGTTCAATGTCTCAGGAAGTATCCAGGGGCAGTTCAAGGTGTTTATTATTGTCTTCTCAGTAGTAGTGGAGTTGATCACTATTCCTCCTTGAGAAGTTTTTCTCACCTCTTAAGACTGCCATCCTCTCGCTTTGTTTCCCTCCTCCCATGCTTCTTTCTGACCTTCAGAACCCCTGGGTCTAAAGCCAGGTCCACTCCCATACTACTGAATTAGTCTTGACTACATTTAACAAACATATAGCAAACCTATGAAGAAAAAAATACAAGTTACAAAAGTAAGCAGTTAGAATGTGTCCAGTTTTCCTTAATATCATGCTGCTATTCCAGTGTGACTGTTTCCTCTTTGTACAAGGTGTCTGATCACATTCCCATCTCCCCATTGAGTTAGCAAGATAGAAACTGAATGATGTGTCTCCTTGCTTTCACAGAAACAGCCTAAAACTTTTATTTATTTTTTTCTGTGTATGTGGCACTGAGGAATCAAACCCAGGGCATCATGCATGCTAGGCAAGCACTCTACCACTAAGCCACATTGGCCAGAACTTAGGTTGTCACCTAGCTGCAGGGGAGAACTTAATATATATGGCGTTTTTACAGTGCATAGCAAAATGTTCAACTCATGTGCTAATATAAGTGTCCTTTTACTAAATGAAAGAAATGGACATTAGCAGGCCACGGGCATTCTGGGCCACCATACCCCATGAACCTGATCTACCAGGTCTTTGTACCCCAGCCTACCTAAACTAGAATTCTCTTGTAAATCTCTCTCCCCTTAACACTCAGCACTACATGACATAGAGGTCTCATATATGCCTGTATATATGGATTTGATTGTTGAATGTCTATTAGAGAAGTAACTTTATTTTGATCATTACTGTCTTTCCTGTCAGGTAGGCTTGGTCAAGAGAAACCTCTCTGAAGGGAGGCCGTTTGGGGAAGGAATGAGTGGGGAAGAACCATATATGCAAATATGTAGAAGGAACTCTCAGGACAAAGGAAACAACCTTGTTGAATTTAGAGAAGTCATTTTGCATTTGGGAGACTACAAGCAGCTTAGTATGGCTGAGATGTAGTGAATGATTGAGAGTAGAACAAGATGAAGGGAGAGAGACAGACCATCAAGTAAAATTTGGCTGTCTCAGATGCAGTAGAAACTTGGAAGTTGTCAACCTTCCTGGCACCTCTGCCATTTCCTAACCTTTAGATGCTCCAGGATAGTCTGTTAATGATTAAACTGAAAGTCTGTAAAATGAAAGTTTTAGTTCCTCAGTCAGACACTAGCCACACAGAGCTAAAGGCATTTTTTGCACAGTGCAGATAGAGAACATTCTATCATAGAAAGCTACTTTGGGCAATGTTGCCCCAGGAAAGGCAGTCAAAGAAGAAATAATGTCAAGTTTGCTTAGCTTCTCCTCTCTGATTTTCTCTTTTAACCTTACAACCAGTGTTTTTCTATTTAAATGGAAATGTATGTGGTGCTCAGAAAACTAGCATGTGTCCTGTTCCATATGCAAATGTTCTCCTGGGTGATTTTTACCTATTACAGAAAAGATGGGAGGATTGGTAAATCACAAGCATTCTTAACCTCATTATATATACACTGAAAATGTAAAAATGCAAAGTGTGGAAGTCATAAATGTGAAAGCTGCTTTCAATTTGCTTTAATAGGTGTTTTCTGTGTCTTATTATAACCCAGGGACCTTGCTGCAAGAAACTGCCTGGTAGGTGAAAATAATGTTCTGAAAATCAGTGACTTTGGAATGTCTCGTCAAGAGGATGGTGGAGTGTATTCATCCTCTGGCTTAAAGCAGATTCCCATTAAGTGGACGGCACCAGAAGCTCTTAATTATGGTGAGAATAGATGCCTTTTCTTCTTATTAAAAAGTGACTGTATCAGCACAAATTATTCATAAGCAGCATTACAGAGGTAGAGTGGAATGCAAGTTGGAAATCATTTGAGACTCAATACAACTTTAATTCATTTAACTTACTGTTAACTATTTGTATTTACACATCTTATATATAGAAATCTTAAAACTAGCCATCTGACAGTCCCTTTGAATGTCATAAATGGTCTAATAACCTCATCTAAAGGTAAATTCCTAAAATATTAAGTCACTGCTTTAGTTTTTCATTCTAAAAGAGTCAACCTGTTTTCTACAGTACTTCATAAAATATAGGGATTTTTAAGTATCTTAATGTCTAAAAAATAGACAAGGCTTCACCTCAAAAATTGAGGTGAAAGTCACATCAGATGGAGGTAACCATTTTAAAGCAAACAGTTTAGTGAGATTTAGTACAAGTCTTAGTGTTAGGCAAACCAATATCTCTATCTCAAAACATTTCAAATCTAACTGTACCTATTAAGTATTTTCCCTGCCCTATCCTGACAACTACCAGTCTATTCTCTTTGTTTGTGGATTTAAAGCCTCTGAACATTTTTATAAGTTGAATCATATAGTATATGACCTTTTATGTCTGACTTCTTTCTATATTGTAGCATTTAAGACTGAGTAAGACTTCTATAGATACACTATGATATATCAGCAGAAGTTGTACAAAACAGGGTATAGTCTGTACATTCATCCGCTGATGATGTTTGAGGAGTTCTTACCTTTTGGCTATACTTGAATGCAAGGGTACACGGAGTACCTATATTCAGTTATTCTAGATCTATTCTAAGAGTTTTAAGTTAATTTCATTTCACTTTTTGAAGAATATAATTGGTCCGGAAGCTGGTCCAGATACCAGAGATAGTAATCCTCACTCCAAAGGGTCTTGTGAATTTTCTAGTGATTGCGAGCCTACCTACTGGTCCTCAAAATCCAGAGAAAAAGGCAAGCCAGCTGCTTCTATAATGATTCCTTTATGGGCTGGGTATTGTTACTCTAGGGTTAGAGTTCAGAGGAAGGACAATCACAGGATAAAAAGACAGGATAAAATGTTTGTATTTACTCAGAGCTTGTCTTTAGATGGCAAACCATTTGTAAGCACTAATGGAGTTGTAAATGAACTTAAGTCGTTGAAGATTTACCAGTAAAATCCAGCCCTCTTGAATTTGCTAGCACCGTTTGCCAGATTCTCTACATTATATAGCCAGTAAAAGTCCTTTCACTATAAAAAGTAATTATGTCTGGTAAAATTCTTCTTCTTGACTAGATAACTCTAACAGACTCGAAAGCATTTCAAGGTAGTGAGGGATATTTTTCATTAATCTTTACTATGCACTTTCTAAGATGCAGAATGATGTCAATAAAGGTAGAAGAAACTTTAGAGGTAATGAGAGAAGCAATGGATAGCAGCATTATGTGATACACTGAGAAAATTCTGAATCTAAAAGTCTCATGACAATCCTGAGAAACTGTGGTTCTCATAAGATTTTAAGTTTTGAGAATTTCAATTCTTAAATACGTACCTGTTTCTCAAGGACTTGATACTTCTTGTTTCTAAAACTGTTTTTCCCTCAGAGTGAAGAAATACTTTTCAGGTCTCTGTGATTCAAGGCACATTAAAAAACACAAACACCACCTGTTCAACAAACCTCTCAGAACTTAAGACCTAGAGCTGTAGACTTAAATAATATGCTTGTTTTTAAAATAAACAATACTAATGGGACTACAATAAAATATGTCTCTCCCCCATCTCTCCAACCACATAGTTTCCCTTTTTGAAGGCAAATACTCTTACCATGTTCTGAAAGATTTCTCGGTCATTGATTTGACTAATCTACCCCCAACAATTTTGGTACCATATTCTTGGCATAGATAACTACTATCACTAGAGCTTTCACCACAGGTACTATATTTATAAACATCAAAGTGTTATTTGGTACCAATGTGTCCTTTAATTAACGTGGTATATACATATAATCTGAAGTGTGAGGGAGGCAGGATTTTTAGTGGGAAACCTTAGATCAGATGTGTCCTTAGCTGTATAACATGGACAAGCCACTTTCTACTCTAGAACAAATTTGTAAGGTGAAATCTACTGTACCTTTATTCTGCAAAGGGTATTATGAAAGTCATATAAGAAATAGAAAATCAGTAAAATACTATATGATCCTGCCCCCATGTTAACCTGTTAAAGGTACCCAGCAAAAAGTAGGCTATAAGCTTTCACTTGCAGAATGTGGATCTTGGATTACATATATAACTTGCCTCCTTGATAAATGTAAATATGTACTTTTGAAAATAAGATATGTAACTCTATCTAACTTTTTTTGTGAAAATATCATACAGAGGGGTTACAATTACATGGGCAAGATAATGAGTACATTTCTTTTCAGGCATTTTTGCCTCCTCATTTGTTTCCCCTTCCCATCCTTTCCCCTCTTCCTCCTCCCGCCAAAGTTGTAAAGTTCGTTTTTTGACATAACTATTTGTACATCTCATTGTTGCAGTGGGTCCACCAGTATCCCTATGTAAGCGATTTGTTTTTTCCCTTCCCCTCCACAAATTATACCAACATCAAATACAGTGAAAGCAGGGGTTATATCGTGGGGTAGGGACATACAAAGCAACAAAGAAACCATCTCATAACTATGTTAGAAACAGTTGCATTTTTCTTAGAAAAAAACTTAGGTTAGAATCATGGCTCAAGTAGTAAAGCACCAGCCACGCAAGCAGATGGTCCTTTTTGCTAGTCCCAGCAAAAGGAAAAAGTTGTATGACTTTCATAAAAAGTATTCCATGATTGGATGCCAAGCATCAAAAGAGCTGATGTACAGACAAGAAAACTAATCTTCGTAGCAAACAGCATAGTAAATATCCATGATTACTATCTACTGAGAAGGAAGCTAATTCACACAGCTGGAGCAGATAGTGCACTCCAAACTAACACAGGCACTCTTCCTTCCATTTTCCTTTCAAGAAAGGGAAGAGGTCATTCTATTTTAAGGTAACAGTTCTTTTAGATGAGCATTTATGTATGGCAGAGAATTCAGGGAAGTACTACAAGAGGAATAGAAAACAATCATTGAAGAAATCTCAACACCATTGCAAATAGATAACACAAGTCTGTTGGGAGAGACTTTTGGACCCCTGGAATGGATTTTACTGCCCCTTTTCTTGACCTCACATCTGTCTATTGAAGGACATTTTTGCTTAGGTTTTTATTTCTGTGCTCTCCTGAAGGCAACCAAAAAGAAAAAAAAAATTCTAAGAGCCTTAGCTCATGTAGCTCAATGAAACAGTTGCACCAAGATATTTTGACAAAACAAGATACCACGTAATTTAAAGAAATGGTTTTTATCAGTCAGCTATGTTATTTCCACTCCATTCAAAACACATAGAGAAATATATTTTCCGTAAATGAAACTATCAGTGGAGAAAATGAGACCTTTAAGCATGTAAGAATATCTGTAAACAGAAATGAGTAAAAAATTGAAGTTAAAAAACTTTCCTTATTGCCTTAAGTTTGTTTGTAATTTTAGGGGAAAGAAAATGATGTATGCAAGCACAAGACAGGATTGCAAAAACCTTTTCTTAATCTTCTCAGCATTGCTGTGCACAGATTTCTATGGGTTTCACCACAGGAAAGATAAGCCTGCACAGTATTTGTCCTTGATGGGCAATGGTGGCAAGGGACTTGGTAGCTGGTTTGATTAAACTAGCAGCCTGAAGAGAAAACCAGTAAAGAGGAGGGCAACACTTCTTAACCAGAAAGAGTCCCCTGTGCCTTACCTGGTTATGGTTACTATATAGTAACTATGGTTACTATCCCTTCCAGGGAGATACAGTTTTGAGAGTGACGTGTGGAGCTTTGGCATCCTCCTCTGGGAGACCTTCAGCTTAGGTGTCTGTCCGTATCCTGGAATGACAAATCAACAAGCACGAGAACAAGTGGAAAGAGGTGAGCCGAAGAACGATGGTTAACATTCCCATCTAGTTGCAGGGGCAGCAGTGTCTGCTGGTCAGATTGAAGCAGAAATATTAGAGGAAAAAAAATCTGTTTTGAACCCCCTGGCTTCAGCTTTCCTACCACAAAACACCTTAATGAGATAAGCTATCCACCTCATTCGTGGTTGGCATGACACCAGTATATACCATTTACTGTTTTCAAGGGAAATCAACTAGTTTACCTTAACCTCCTATTCTTTTTTTAATTCCAGGACAAGTAAGTCTCCTTAGCAATACTGCAATTGAAGTCTTCAGGAGTATGCTTTTGACAGTGTTGTAATGTCTGAGGATTCCTGTAGTGTTCCACAACTAGAGGGTGGTGACATGCACTTCTATAGTCCAGGCCTTTCAGCACAAACTACTCACCTGAGACTATGCTGGTGCCCTAATGTCAGCTACCCAGAGGAGCCCTGGTTGGAGAATTACATTTGAGAGGTTGCCTTTCTTACCTCCTTCCTGCCAGACACACAGCACAGCACAGCAGCACTGCCAAACAGTCTCACAGTTGTCCCATTCAGTTTTTTCTTCACTATTGAATGTGTTTATAAGATCCTACCTCTCTTCAGCTGCAAAACCAAGCAAATATTTAGAGCAAATAGGATAGGCATTTGTGTATGATATATCTTACTTCAGAATTTCTGACAAGTGGTTTATGGTAACATTCAGTATATGCCTGTATATAATGTCCTGTGTGAAAATTTTTATCTTAACTCCGTATTCTTCTTGTGTCTTTAGGATACCGGATGTCAGCCCCTCAACACTGTCCAGAAGATATTTCTAAAATTATGATGAGGTGTTGGGATTATAAGCCCGAAAACCGCCCTAAATTCAGTGACCTTCTGAAAGAGCTCACTGCCATTAAGAAGAAAATGACATAGCCACTGAACAGTGCCACCCTTGGCCTCGGGACTTGTCCTCCTGCAGAATACTATTATTTGTATTATTCTGCTTATAATCCTAAACAGCGAGTTTAGACTGCATTACCAGCAGCCATCTTCTAAGGTTATTTTTTTTAATTAACTAGGTTTTGTAAAAAAAAAAAAAAGTTCCACTTTTAAAGTATGTCAAAGGCAAATTTATTATAGAACTAGTCCTACCAAGCAAGGGCTTTAAATGTGTTAACCACAGCCATCCTACCATTTCAGGCCACTGTAAATAGAAAAGCACAGCCTCTAAATGTGAAGGACAAAGATCTATTTTCACACCTAGGACCATTGATGTTTCTCAGACTTTCTACTTCCTGCAGTCTGTAGGCTGCTGTGGTATGCCACAGACACTCCTCAGTTGGTGCTATGAACTGCATTGGTAATGCATGTTAGCAGGACATGTTCCAACAACAGTTAGCTTTCTGCTTTGCCAAGGTGAGATTATATCAGTAAATATAATCTTCTTTGGGGAATTACTTGGACCTCCCAAGGTCTTTCATTTTTCTGGCCAGAAATAAGCATCATCATGCTTCTGCAATATTATGGTTAAAGTTGTTTTTCCCTCTTTAGATCAGGAAATGCCCTCAGAGAACATGCTGTGAAAGTTGAGGAAAATGCTTCTTAAGAATGTGATGAAGAGCTAGAGCAGTAGGAAGCAAGCATGACCAGGGTGGCAGTCTGTGCAAAAGAGCAGCTAGCACAGTGATCAAAGACAGAACAGAAAACGATGCAAACCACACTTCTCACCCAAGTCAGGCCCTTACGAGCACATGCACACATCCGTGCCCCTTTTGTGGTGGTGGTCTGAATTCCCCAAGAAATGTTTTAGGACTTCACATATCTTATCTTCATTTAAAGAGGGAAGCCCAGAATTTAATTCTCTTCCTTTGTAACAGTTTACAAAGTTGTCAGAAATCATGATTTAGTTCACCAAGATCTTTGTGTGCACACATAGGTATCAGTGAGGAAAAAGACCTAGGCCAGATATTTCTTTCTACTTTCCCCCCTTCATTTACCCTCTGCTGCTACCTGGAAGTCTTTTTCCGTAACTGACAGGTAAGCAGGCAGTGCTGAGGATGTTTCATGTGGATAAATGTAGCAGTTAAAAATAGGATTCTATTGAGCTGAATTTTGCCTGTATCCAGGGAACTCGCCCTGTAATGTGTATATAGTTGCCTCTCAGGATAAATAAGAAGTGTGTAGGACATGGTCTCCCTCAGGGGCAAATGTGACCTCCAAGTCTTTTTATGAGTTCTCAGGCTTTTGTCTAGGTAAACATACCCTTAGTAATTTTTTCTGTGTTTTTTGGAAGAGCTTAAGGAATGGAAAATCTTCCTCCTGCCTCTCCAACTCTTCATTGGCTGTGAATGTCATGGTATAAAACTCAGACCAGTACTTTAACGAGTGTATGGGGAGCTATGTGATAGCAATCCTCTTGCAAATTTTGTACATTTTAAATTATAATTTAGTGCATTCACATTTAAATGAAATCAAAACAAACCTGCCCTCAAAACTTAGATTTCAACCCACAGAGTGACTTTTTAATTAGTCCAGCTCTCCCTTTGATCAAATATTGTAAATACGTGGAACCTTTTTTTCATGACCCATACCACAGCAAATCAAAGCACAGAGCACAGGTTTATGATTAGGTGCTGTGGTCTCAGGCACTCACCAACCTTCAAAAGGGGGAATAGGTTATTTTTACTCTCTTTAGTATTTCTAAGTGAATCTTGTGATATTCTTTGTCTACTAAAGAAAGAAAGGGAAAAAAAAACTCTCCTTACTTCGTGGCAGCCGTGCTAAGCTCTCTGCAACAGAAAGAACGATAGTTTAATTTTGTGAGCAGGTCCTAAAGCTTAATCCTTGCATTTTGGTATAAAGAATGAACATGGCATTGATATTTCACTCATCCAAGCTGCTAGAATTTGCAATTCACATCATTACTGTGCTTAAATTAAAAAAAAAAAAGCTTTTTCAAAACATCATGACATCTGCAGCATTTAAATTCCATTTCATTTTTTTGTCCCAAAGCAGGCAATGTTACGGTTCAAGATTAATAACTCATTGAGAGTCTTGCAGGGCCATATCAATTGAATAGAATATTAAATTTAATATAGTCACATGCATTAAGAAAAGCTTATGCAAACCACTTTTATAGTTAATTTTGTTATGCTTGAAGCATAATTTATTCATCCCTTCTGTCACTGATAATTATTGGAATTATGTACTTTAGGAGGGCTAATCCATACCCAAAAAGCACACATATAAATACTGTTCTGAATTTGCAAGTTAATGTGGGAGAAAGAGGCTTCAGAAATGCACAAAATCCTATGCTTTGTTTAGTAAGAAAACAATTATAACAGAAATTCCCATTGGTTTCTATATAATTGAGTCGGGTTGCAAATCTTTTCATTACTAATGGATTATCCAAGAGTCTCTCACACACATATATATGTATACATTATATAATGTCCACATGATATACAGTATACAATGTCTACATTGTATATATAGTATATCTACATGATATACAGTATACAATGTCTATATATATATATACTATATATACAATGTAGACATTGTATACTGTATATCATGTAGACATTATATACTCTATATTTAATGTAGACATTGTATAATGTATATATACAGTATATATAATGTATACATATATATCATTACACTATAGTTCTGCTGATATCCCTTAAATTTATTAACCCAGCAATGGAGGAGAAAGGGGAAAACACAGGCAGTGTGTATCACCAAGGGGCCTTTGAGAAATATATAGGTAATCTGTCATTTTTCAAAGAAAGGAAATTTTAAGCATTACCTTAACATTACCAATATGTGAAACCTAAAATTTTTTATTCCATGTAATCAAGGTACTTCCCAAAGTTATTTGCTTTCTGGAAAGAAAATAGAATTAAAACTTGAGGCTTTATTTCAGCCCATCCTACCACAAGATCTCCAATGAGAAGTTTTGTGTAATCAGAGTCCAAGTACTCAAAGTTACTAAAAGCAACAAAGACAAAAGCCACCTTAATTAAATGGAATCAAAATGAGTTTATGATCTTTCCATTCTACTAGTAAATTAAGAAAGTTTATTACCATTAAAGTGTTACCTCTTACTGTTAACTGGTTTATGCATATATATCAGAATTGGTTTATTAAATATTTGGTTGTATTTTTCCGGCTTACTTTTATATCATGTCTAAATTAGTTTTAAGAACCTAGAATTACATCTAGACCTAAAATTCTGCAAAAGAAGGTTCCCTGCTTTTTAAAGTCAGAGTTTCTTGTACTATGAGATTATTTTCTTGGAGTAATTGGTATAGACTTTAAAGACCCAAAAAATTCTCCTTTAAAATGGTGAATAAACTATGCCTTAGCCATAAGCTTATTTAAGAAATTTGAAATCCATCCCACTTCCTCAGACTAATCTTCATTCAAAGATTAAATTCTCAGTTGCTAAGTACATAACAATCAGTGTCCTGATAAAAACAGATTTGTGAATGGTAGACAAATTCTGTTGTGCCCCATTTTTTGTCTCCTTAAACTATCAGAGAAATGCACATGGACTACAATGTGTCTATTACTAAGGGGATGGAGTACATGTAAAAAGGCAGGAGAGGAAAGAAAGAATCGGTTACTCAGAGAAAGATGAGGCAGTTCTGCAAACTGGAGACAATTACAGTGGGAAAAGCCCTTTGCCTATGTCACTACCAAGCTTGAGGAGCAGTTTTGAGAGGCCAGATCTTTCCCTACAGAAAATAAAAATCACCAGGGCCAAAAGAAGTGAAAGAGGTTGCCTACCCAAGTGTAGGTCTTTGCATGAACAATGAAATCAATCTCTCCCTTGCATTAAGAGCAGTTTCACCTTCCCAGCTCAGAGGTGATCATTGTCTTCCCAGTAGCTTTGCTATCTTTTCAAACTTTTCATTTCCATTAGCTATAATTAGCATTAGTCATATTAATAGTTCCTAAAGTTACTAATCATTCATACTTTCCCTTTCCACATTTCTGTTAGCATCAGAGGGGTCTTATTTTGACATGTCCACATACACACGATTGTACCTTGACCAGACTCACCTCCTCTCCCCTTTCTTCAACCCTTTCCTCACTTCCCCAGCCAATCTTAACTAGCTCCACGGTTCCATTTTCACACCAGATTTCTGAGATGCCAAAAGAATATTTGAGATTTTCAGAAAAACTCAAATCTTGAATTTCTAAACTATTTTCCCAAATATTATCAAAGGCAGTAAGGCGCAAACTCCACAAAGTGACAGAGTTGAATGATAGTAAACACCCTGGTATCAGACTTTTACATTCCTCTCCTCTTTGTTCCATAGGGAAGCTTTTCTTAAACACCTGTCATGCCAGGTGCCCAGGATACTTCAATTCCACACTCTTGCTTTGCCAAAACAGAAAGGCCTTCATCATCAGCATGTGTGAATAATCTCATCATTAGCCTGAACCAAATCATCTTTCCTCAGATTTCCTCTGACTTACCAGGAACTTCTAGGCATCTACCAAGCCTGATGGCAGACATAGCTTAGAATACAAAGACCTGGTTACCACTCTTGCTATTCAGTGCAGAAATGAGTGACACTATCAGAGTTTCTTGGGACATTTTCTTAAGACAGTAAGAAATAGAAAGTAAGACAGTATGAATAGTAAGTATGTCCAAGGAAAGCAACCTGCTGTCTTGGCCAAGTAAACTGACTTTTCTCCTAGCCATAAAGCAGTACAGAAACACTAAAAATAATTGCTTTAAGTTCTGTTCATACTTAATTCTTCCACTATTCTATGCCAATAATTTTACTATTTTTCTTCACATTCTTCTTATTCACAAATACCTGAAAGTTATTTCAGTACACAATGTGCAATGACTTTTCATAGCTTCAGAAAGCCAGACAGATGAGATATGAAGGTTTCAGTTCAGAAGAAGCCAATCTACCTAGGTTTATACACTCCAAAACACTATTGTACTAAAAAAAAAAAAAAAAAACAGCTCTAGAGCTTCCAAAGCCATTCTTCTCTTCCTAAAAACACAAACATCTCACCTTTTTCCTGTTTTGTTGGAACATCTTTAATATCAGAATAAGCACATTCTAAATTCTATCCAGAGCAGATTCTAAAATGACATAGTAGGAGACCATATTTCAAAATGTAACCATCAAATCAAATAACAAATTCACTTTCCCCCTTTATGATCAGTTAAAATATCCTTTATGGGCTGGGAATGTGGCTTAGTGGTAGAGTGCTTGCCTACCATGCATGAAGCTCTGGGTTCAATTTCTCAGTACCACAGAAACAGAAAAAGCCAGAAGTGGTGTTGTGGTTCAAATGGTAGAGTGATAGCCTTGAGCAAAAAGAAGCTCAGGGACAGTGCCCAGACCCTGTGTTCAAGCTCAGGACTGGCAAGGAAAAAAAAAAAACAAACCTGAAACTACTTAGGTAATTTACCTGATCACACAGGACACTGGACCTTATTGTGAAAGCATAGACCAGGCGTCAGTTTTCTAAGACAGGATAAATGTATGACTTTGGAGCAGCAAAAGAACCTGAATACCAATCCAAACTGTTTTATTTTGTCTTTCTGGATCAAAAACAAACCACACTCTTAGGTGTTTTCCTCTTACATATAGTTTAACTTCGTAGAATAAAAATAAAAAAAAACCTACACCTGCCTACTCTTAAAAAAATTCAATTGGTAGAAACAAATGCAAAGGGTAAGGATCCCAGAACCAGGTTTTCTTCTTACGTGCAGCTTCAACATGCTGGGGACGCTCGTCCCCTGCTGTCAGAAGCATTGGTTCCAACACAAGTCCATGTCCAACAGGCATGGACTTGTAGCTCCTCCTTAGAATCTACCCTTTTCACACATGCATCGAGGAGAATATGATGTATTCTAAATAAAGTTGTACTTTGGACTTCAGTGTCAAAGTGATTGGCTCCACACGTTTCACCTGATTTTCATACTTTACAATCACATGGATGATTCTAAATCCAACCCCAGACACAGATTCTGAGCATACAAGATAAAGGGAAATTCATTTATCTCAAATCTGTGGCCAAAGACATGTAACACATCTAAGATATGGAATGTACTGAACACTAAACAAAATGTCCATTATTCAACTTTGTCCTGTGGCTAAATCAAACTCTCAAGTGGACAAGAGATCAGGAGTGTAGTGTGTACTCATGGGCTTTTCCACTCCCTCTCCTTCCTAGACCACTCATATTCCTCATTCAAATAGCTTTGTCTGACACCTATATATTTTTATGTGTATCTTTAAATATTTTAAATTACATAGCCTAATTGTGAAGCTGAATATACTGGGGGCTGGTGGAGGTTCGTTCTGCTGACTTTACCTTACGAGTTGTGTTTCTTGTATGGGTTGTTTCTCTTTGGATGAATGTCCTAAAAGACACAGGCCTAGCATCTGAATGCATTGGGTTACAAAAAAGCCAGATAAACACAAAATAATAAAATTGTCATCTTTGACAACTTAGGAGCAGCCCCAACTTCTTCAGAAACCCAGGCAAATTGAAAGAAAAAGGCAAATCACACAATTTGGTATCCAGGCCATCTGACTGTGGGCTCACAGTCAGTGATGATGCAGGAGTCATTTCTGAGCTGCTTTCTCTCCCTGTGAATAGAAGAATTTGAGACAGTGAGTAGGGAATGTGAGGCTTGTCTTCCCTTAGCCACTAGTGGGACACATGTTCCATCCCTAAGCAACACTCCTGTGGTTTACCAAGTTTTCTTATAAGTGCCAATGTATGGTCATTCTAATATCAGGTTAAAGCACCTTTAATCTTTTGTTGTGTTAAAATATTTGTGAAGTAGATAAAAGAAACACTGGAAATAGGGTGCTGGAAAGTTCAAGTGCAAACCATATGAACAAGGTCTTGGGTGGTCTTATCTGGCTTTGTAAACAAGTCTGAAAATGAATGAGAGCTAAGTATATAAAGTGGTTGTCCTTTTATCATTTTTAACTCAGATCTGTATTTAACACTTATTTATTTGTTAGCTTTTACATTCAGAAGAAATCCACTTTGAATTTTGGCTAACCTTATAGGATGTTTTTGAATTGTTTTCTACATTTTTAAAACATTATTTCATCATTTTTGTAAACTTAAGAGCATTTCTGAGTAGCCTTTTTGTTACCAATAGACCAATTACCATTTGTTGGTCTGCACAGCCTCTTTTGACTGCATTCTTTTAATAAATGTAAAATATTTGTAGCAAACTGTGTCTTGTCTTGTTTAATCTTCCCATCATGATTGCATTGGTTTTTCCTTTACCGTATTAATATGCTGTAAGTAGAAGAAAAGGAAAGCAAGATTTCCATGGTAACAGGCCTCCCAGGGATGTAACAATGCATAAAAATTATTAGCTTTTAGTTTTTCTGTAATTAAGCTTATGAGTTCTGATGATAATGGGTGTGTGTTGCTTACACTCTGATCATTGCTTTCTCCACCTAAAAATCAAAACTGAAATGTAGCTCAAGTCTCAGTTCTGTGTGGATTGGCTATCAGTTTAAATATTTTTGTTCTTGGATTTTTGTTTTATTTTCCATGTCATGATTTGTTCAGATATAGCACAGGGATTTAAGGAAGAAAATTGGCTGAGAAGGATATTTGGAAACAGCTGAAACTTGCTACTGGCAGCAGTTCATTTGGGCATCCTGCTCTCAATACAGGGGACTGAACTGGTTACAGAGCCAAGATGCTCAATTTGAATGTATCCTGCCTTAGCAAATCGCTTCTGTTTCTAAAACCACATGCTATTATTTACAGTGTTTGGGGTGACATACCAGAGTTCGTTTATTCATTTGTTTTCCCTGCATTAAACCAAGGCCTATCCTGAACCTTAATCTTGAATCAGAGTCAACCCCTAAGTGATTCTTTTTTCCTTTTTTTTTCTGTTTTTTGTTGTCGGTCACGGGGCCTGAACTCAGCCTGAGCACTGCCTCCAGCTCCAGGCTAGCGCTCTACCATTTGAGCCACAGAACCACTTCCAGCCTTTTCTGCATATGTGGTTGGTACTGAGGAATCAAACTCAGGGTCTCATGCCTGCAAGGCAAGCACTCTACCACTGAGTCGCCTTCCCAGCCCCAATAAGTGATTCTTAAAAGCAAGTATGTTAGTCGGGTGCCAGTGACTCACGCCTGTAATCCTTG